GCAGAAGCTGTGAGCATAAAACTGATTACCAATGCAAAGCAGTGGGTTGTCCTATTTACCTTGATATTGCATTTTTAAGGTTAATGGCCAAAAAAAACTATACTGAATGGACTAAAAGAAGTTAATCACAATTCCTTTATAATAGGCTAAAGACCAACACCAGCATTTGTTGACGGTGGTTGTACCAGGCAGTTTTTACATTCAGTAGTTTGCCATTGCCCTTAAAAATGCAACATCAAAGTAAATGGGACAATCCTCATGCAAACTGATAATGGTCATACTTGGGTTCCCTGATGACAGCAAATGGATGCTGAGTTAAAGAAGTTAAATGTAAGCTTAAGCAACGGCAGCATTTAACAAAATAAAGAATATACTATGCAATACTTATTTATCAATTGGGGTGAGAAAGAAAATTCTCAAGACCTGTATAAATCTAATCCTAATATTCAGAAGTGAATCATTTACCAGTTGGCGCTTTAGTAAAAAATTATGTGGAAGCGCGGAGATGTGGTTTAAAGATAGATGAATGATAACATCCTGAATAGGTAAAAAAGAGTAATGAAGCTGCCTTAAAAGAAATCGACTCACAAAGAGAGCTGATTTCCCATATCAAAAGAAAACAGAATACATTCTTTGATCGTTTCATGACAAGAAGAAAAACAAGTAAATTGTGAGGGTGGAAAAAGTGAAGTGGAAAATGAGAGGCAAAGGGAGGCCGAGAGAAAAGATGCTGGGCATTTAACATCAAGGAAGACCATCTGTATCAGAGCTGATTGAAAACACATGAGATAGAAGGTTGTGGATAGACATGATTGCCAACACCATAGGATATAGACTATAAGTTCACGAGATAGAAAGTTGTGGATAGACATTACCTACCAACACCACAAGGCAGGAATTGTAAAAAAAAAATTTGCCATTGGTTTATTAAGCCATTGTGGAAGTCAAAGAGGTCTACTGTCATATTGCCTGCAGCTGAAATAAATCCAGCATGTCGAAATTATGAAACTGCATTCATAACCCATATGCCACAAATGCAGCTTTTGTTGTTGTTTTAATTCACCTTCACCTCTATTTAAGCCATTGGCAGCTCGAGCAATAAGTGTTAAACCAATATTTTAATTAGATAACAAAAAGAGTGACGACAATACGGACACCAGAGTGACACAATACCGACGTTAGAGTGACCACAATACCAATAATAAAGTTACCACAATACCGATATTAGAGTGACAAAAAAAACTGACGATAGTGTGACAATACCGACACCTTACATGCTGTGAGCTTCGAGAAGATGGCTCATAAACAACTGTCTCTTCTTCTTCTTCTTCTTCTTCTTCTTCTTCCTCCTCTTCTTCTTCTTCTTTTTCTTCTTCTTCTTCTTCTTCTTCTTCTTCTTCTTCTTCTTCTTCTTCTTCTTCTTCTTCTTCTTCTTCTTCTTCTTCTTCTTCTTCTTATCGTTCACCGGCTGTAAACTTTAACAAAAAGTTCTAGTTGTTTGTCTGCATCTAGACTTTGGTCTTGCTTCAGAGCGTGAGTGTTGCATGTACATCCATTTAATAGAGCGACGTTCTGTAAAGGACACGTTGATTAACGATGATGATGACGGGACCACAAGATAGAGCGTTTCTTGAATCAAATCAAACCAGAGCGTTTCAGAAACAAAGAAATAGAGAGCAAGTGGTAAAACGTCTTGGTTATCTAAAATCAGAACCAGAAGTTCGAAAAATGATTCATGACAATTCCCGCCTAGGTGATGTGATTAATCTATACAGATGGCTCTGTGTTGAGAGGTAGACGAAGTGCATGGGTGTTCAAAGTAAAAGCGAATGGACGTGCTTAATGCAGCAAAGCCTGGCATATGATATCACAATGTCTTGTTTAAGAATGGAGGCAGTCACTGCTGCCTTCTGCTGGATTGAGAATCAGCTGTACACACATGTAATTGTAACTGACTCACAAAGTGTGTTGAGAAAGGTAGAGACATACATGCTCCATGCAGAGTGGCAAGCATCGTTAGCGTCATTTGGATATTTTCTGCAAGTATGCTGGTGTGTTTGAAAACTAGCAGGCAGATTGACTGGCCGGTTCTGCACCACCTGGTGGTGATTTGATGTATGGACAAGCTAAATGTTGCGAGGGCCCTTTGGAAGCGAGTGAACATTCCGAAGTCACAAATAGATCATTTTGGTCTGAGGAGAATGGGGCTGCAGGGAGTTACCAGGGGATCTGGCAGACACTCAACACTCAAGGGAAAGGCGAGACGGATATACAATTAGACAGTTACTGGTGCCATCGGAATTTGGAACGTTTTGCCTTCCTGCCGAATATGGTAGTGTCCCGAGGGCTATGATTTTGATTCTTAATTCAATATTCAACATTCAGCGTCATCTTTCTTTATATCCTTTATTCATATTTCTGTAGTTCCATGACCAGTACAACAATCTGCATCAGCTGTAACTAATACAATTTGGCATAAAATAAGAACAAGACATTTACATGGAGGAATTTTAATGAAAGTTATACACCTGGAGGAGTTTGAAGCTTGATGATCCACCGCCAGTAAGAATCGATTAACAAGGGCTGAAACACATCCGCTATCTTTATTTGATCTTTGTTCTTCGTTGCTTTTTGTTTTTTAGAAATCCATTTTTTTTAAACAACAACAAAATAGTCTGCATTTTTTATCCACAATGTTTCTGTTCTTGCCAAATCTCTTGTCATTAATTGGAAAAAAAAAATATCTTAGCCATAATATTTATGTTAACTAGTCCTCTCGTGTACATGTTTTTAAAAAAGTTTTGTATCCATGTGTTTATTTAGTCTTTCTTATCCACAATCTTTCTATTAGGTCCACCTTTGTTGTCTATTAAATCTACCCCTGTTATCTATGTTTATACATCCCCCCTTCATCGCTCATTGGCTTATTCTTCCTGTCAATCCTGTTCATAGATTTCCTCCAGCTAAGTCCACATTTTTTTGGTCCCTATGTTTAGTGAGGGCTCTTTTCTTCTGCAGGTTCATATTTATTCCTGTCTCCTCCAGTCGTCGGTTCTATAGCTTAGTCGATGCGAACGCTTCGTAATGCCGGGATGCCGGGTTCGATCCCAGCTGCGGGCCATGCGCCTTGCGTTGGTTTCGACAGTGGTATCAAGAAAGCCGACCGCTTAGGTAGCAAATGGCAAACTACTAGACGTAATTTTGCCCAGGAACACCACAAAACAGCCAGGGGCTGTTGGGGTTGGTTCTGCAACGTCCTGTAAAGGATACGCAACTAACCACCTCCTCCAGACATTGAAATGTTTAAGTTTTTGTCAACTTCATTGTCTGCCACACCCTTCTCATCCACTATTTTACTTATCCCATGTTTCTTTTTATTGTGATTTGTATTTCTATGCTCATCTCCAGTCTTTATACCACCGCCTTATGCGTGCAGTCTTTCCATACCCACAGACCAGTGGTTTTCAGTCAGCTAAGACATGCAGACACCTCTTATTTTTGAAGGTTTTCCACGGCCCCCCATACTTTTTAACCTGTCTGGATTTATTATAGTTTACAAATATTGGACTGCAAAAAGGACTGCATTCTAAAGAAGAGGTTTAAAAAAAAAAAAAGATATCATTGCCCTCTCAACGTTGTTCCACGGACTACCATATTGGAAACACTGCAATAACTCTTTCTGTCCCACAGATGTGGTTACTTTCTAAGTTACTTTCTGAACAAGTAACGTTCTAAACCATTATTGTTTAGACAAGAACAATAAGTAATGTACAGGATAACTGATGAATTTGAAAAAAAAAAAGGGGGGGGGGGGGGAAGGTTTTCTGGTCTTTAGGTCTCCTATCCCTTAAAAAATTGACACCCTTGTCGTTCTATCCTTTTAGTATTCACGAAGCAAGCCCCACGCCTTTCTCACTTTATTCACCCAGACCTATCATTATATTCTTAACGGCTCTTGCGTGTGTGCGTGCATGTGTGTGTGTGTGTGTGTGTGTGTGTGTGTGTGTGTGTGTGTGTGTGTGTGTGTGTGTGTGTGTGTGTGTGTGTGTGCGTGCGTGCGTGTGTGTTGTGTTGTGTTTCCTCGCATAATTTTTTTTTGGCCCTGTGGGCTCAAGTGAAAGGACATTCCAGTTATATTATCAAGATTTATCAATATGTGTCCTATCCAGCGTCAGCTACCCCATCCTTTAGAACACTTCAATTACAAATTCCAACAAATCATGAACAGATCAGGGCTTAGTGTTGATTTAGGCCTGTACTTCAAAGGGAGACTGGAAGGCTGAAGTAGTACTTACATATTAGTCAACATTGTCATATAATTCTCGCATTTTATGAACAAACCACTGCATTCACCGACGCCAGGCTCATACCTAAAGACTGGGCCTCCTCAGCCACCTCTACCACCCCTCCCCCAATACCCTCAAGTGAGGGAAGAAATAATTCTTTAACCATATATGCAGATTCTCTTTGAAAGTATTTGTTTTCAAATTTCATTTTATTTCAAGTATATTAAATATAATATTTATTTACAATTCAGCACATTATAATAATAATAATAATTAGTATTTTGCGCTTAAACCACTATTATGCCCCTTTATTGCAAATACAATTTGTTAAGGTGAAAAGTAGGGGGGGGGGGGGGGGATTGGTGGGGGGTAATTTTTGGACTTTCCCAGTGTTTTCTCAACCTAACATAAGAACTTTCTACAGTTTACATTTCTCAACTTCGAATGTTTCATTCTTCTGTTATGATCCAGGTTCGAATCCTCGGTAAGATTTATCCTCGATAAAATCCTAACCTGCACAGTTCGTGGCGACTGCACTAACCATGCGGTTAAATCCTCAGTCCGAAAGATATGGTGACCATAATATCTTGAGCTGAAAACGGGACATTTCACTGAAATTTTTACTGAAAAATGGATATTCCAAGTAAGCCAGTTTATCAGTTAAGGTACTAATATATTTTAAGAACTTATTCCTATATTTTGCCTTACAAATTGTTAACATTCCTCTATGTAAATCAAGGGAGCCAATTCTTTATCTGTTTTAGCCTGTCTAGTTTTTGAAGAGTTATCTTTCTTCGATGGTTGCAGCAATGGATACGATTCGTCGTCAGATAGGGCTTGTGAAAACGCGGTTTCCTCCAAAGTCGAAGTTCCGTTTCTTGCCGACTTAGGCACGATTTGAGAGGTTGATGCTGGAGATGAAGGTTGTGTCTCTTTGGAAGTAGATGAAGAGGATGATGATGACGGTGATGAATTTAAGGCTTCAGCACTGGTGGGAAGGCATACATTTGTGGCAGAAGTGGCTGATGTTTTTGTCTGTGGCATATCTACGCTAGTTTTCTTCATCAGCGAGGGAGTCGATGTTGTGGCAAAACTGCTGGTTGGAATATTAGCGAACTCCAAGAAGGCTGCGTCGTTTTCCCTTTTCAGACTGCCATCTGTTTCACTGTTGTAAAAAAGGAAAGACCGATAAGAAATATATTTAGTAAAGCGAGGTTTGAAGCAAGCGACCTCGCTTTTTATATATATATATATATATATATATATATATATCTTTCTCTTTCTCTCTCTCTCTCTCTCTCTCTCTCTCTCTCTCTCTCTCTCTCTCTCTCTCTGTGTGTGTGCCCTTTTTTCGCTCGCAAAAAGCCAATATACATAAAGTCATTTATAATTTGTTTAATTAAAGTCATTGCTAATTTATGTCAGTTGTGTGCTTCATGACTGTAGAATCTAATTAGTATGTTCCCATGTCCGTATCATCGACTTAAGGATTACACATGTCTACGATCCTATTGTAGATTACGTCTTTATGTGCATCACCTCTAGTTTCCGTACAGATTATGTTCCCCACATCTCTACAGTCTTCATACATATTATGTTTTCCACGTCTCTACAATCTCCATACAGATTATGTTTTCCACGTCTCTACAATCTCCATACAGATTATGTCCCACACGTCTCTATAATCTTCATACAGATTATGTTCCATACGTCTCTATAATCTTCATACAGATTATGTTCCATACGTCTCTATAATCTTCATACAGATTATGTCCCATACGTCTCTATAATCTTCATTCAGATTATGTTCCATACGTCTCTATAATCTTCATACAGATTATGTTCCATACGTCTCTATAATCTTCATACAGATTATGTTCCATACGTCTCTATAATCTTCATACAGATTATGTTCCATACGTCTCTATAATCTTCATACAGATTATGTTCCATACGTCTCTATAATCTTCATACAGATTATGTTCCATACGTCTCTATAATCTTCATACAGATTATGTTCCATACGTCTCTATAATCTTCATACAGATTATGTTCCATACGTCTCTATAATCTTCATACAGATTATGTTCCATACGTCTCTATAATCTTCATACAGATTATGTTCCATACGTCTCTATAATCTTCATACAGATTATGTTCCATACGTCTCTATAATCTTCATACAGATTATGTTCCATACGTCTCTATAATCTTCATACAGATTATGTTCTTAGTCTCTAAAATCTTCATACAGATTAAGTACTCCTATGTCTCTGCAATCGCTTTACAAAAAATATTCCACACGTCTCTACAATCTTTAGACACATTGTGCTCCATATTATCTCTACACTACTTATACAGATTATGTTCACCCTCTCTCTACATTCTTCTTACCTTTTATGTACCCCCTACTTCTACAATTTCTTACAAATTAGGCGCGTCATATCATCATTTTGTCAGACTGGCTCGCCTCTACTATTTTCCGTTAACTTGGATTTAAAAGCGAGTCTCCCATTGATTCTTGCCACTATGTCTACCAATAATTGTAAACCGACACCATCACATTTATCAACAATCTAGGACAGTGGGGAGCAGGGAGGACAGTGGGGAGCAGGGGGGACAGTGGGGAGCAGGGAGGACAGTGGGGAGCAGGGAGGACAGTGGGGAGCAGGGAGGACAGTGAGGGGGCAGGGAGGACAGTGGGGAGCAGGGAGGACAGTGGGGAGCAGGGAGGACAGTGGGGAGCAGGGAGGACAGTGGGGGGGGGGGCAGGGAGGACAGTGGGGGGGGGGGGGGGGAGGACAGTGGGGGGGGGGGGCAGGGAGGACAGTGGGGAGCAGGGAGGACAGTGGGGAGCAAGGAGGTCAGTGGCGAGCAGGGAGGACAGTGGGGAGCAGGGAGGACAGTGGGGAGCAGGGAGGACAGTGGGGAGCAGGGAGGACAGTGGGGAGCAGGGAGGACAGTGGGGAGCAGGGAGGACAGTGGGGAGCATGGAGGACAGTGGGGAGCAGGGGGGACAGTGGGGAGCAGGGGGGGGGGGACAGTGGGGAGCAGGGAGGACAGTGGGGAGCAGGGAGGACAGTGGGGAGCAGGGGGGACAGTGGGGAGCAGGGAGGACAGTGGGGGGGGGGCAGGGAGGACAGTGGGGAGCAGGGAGGACAGTGGGGAGCTGGGAGGACAGGGGGGACAGTGGGGAGCAGGGGGACAGTGGGGAGTAGGGAGGACAGGGGGGACAGTGGGGAGCAGGAAGGACAGTGGGGAGCAGGGAGGACAGTGGGGAGCAGGGAGGACAGTGGGAAGCAGGGAGGACAGTGGGAGGGGGCAGGGAGGACAGTGGGGAGCACGGGGGAAAGGGGTAAATAATATTACTTACTCCACATAAGAGATACAATCCTCGTAAGCTTTATCATCATCGGAGAGGACCACACTCTCGTGGTACTCTGTGTTTGCATCGTTGACATCATCATCTTCATCATCTTCAATCTGAGCCACTTTTGGCGGATCAATAAGCTGCCTCATGCTAGTTATCGTACAGGCTTCTTCTATGGCAGAGAGTACGGGCATTCTGCATGACAAATGACCAGAGATTAGCATCAGGGTGGGAAGGAAACGAAAACAATCAAATACTAAGGCTTTGGAGGATCAGCAATCAAAAGAGAATTGCTTAAAGAAGCAAAGGAGAAACAAGTGAAATATGTTGGCCTCATTAAAACACATGGCATTGGTATAAGAACATAAGTATTGGAAAAGTCGAATGTAAGGGAGCAAGAGGTACGCAGCGATACAAGGAGGACATCAAGCGATTTACTAACATCAGTCTGTGTGAGTGTAGACGAGAGACAGAGAAGGCTGGGTATGGCACCTGACAGAGGATAGGAAATAAATGTACATGTAAAGATTGGTACTCACAGAAAGCAAATGACAGAAGGGGAATCTCTGTAGTGTCATAGTTAGGAATTAATCTGTGACTTGCGACGCGATATTTCCATTTTTTGTTTGTTTGCAACAGTACAGATCTTCATTTTCTTCTTCTTCTTCGGTCGTCTTTAAAATGGGAGTTGATGAGTAGGGCTGTGCTTACGGTTAGGCTGCGATATCTGCGTATTTTTGCACAATATACTGGATTTAAGCTTTCTACTTCGTCATTTTTACGATATTCTTGTTAGGGGGGAGTGGGCCTGTAGACTCTATTTGATGGGGGATGAGACAATATTTGATGGGGGATGAGACAATATTTGATAGGGGAAGAGACAATATTTGATCGGGGATGAGACAATATTTGATGGGAGATGAGACAATATTTGATGGGGGATGAGACAATATTTGATGGGGGAATGAGTCAATATTTGATGGGGGAATAAGACAATATTTGATGGGGGATAAGACAATATTTGATGGGGGATGAGACAATATTTGATGGGGGGTGAGACAATATTTGATGGGAGATGAGACAATATTTGATGGGGGATGAGACAAAATTTGATGGGGGATGAGACAATATTTGATGGGGGATGAGACAATCTTTGATGGGGGATGAGACAATATTTGATAGGGGGTGAGACAATATTTGATGGAGGATGAGACAATATTTGATGGGGGATGAGACAATATTTGATGGGGGATGAGACAATATTTGAAGGGGGATGAGACAATATTTGATGGGGGATGAGACAATATTTGATGGGGGATGAGACAAACATCATACTATCCACCTTTACCTCACGGGACATTTTCTAGGCCTTTTTTTTAATTCTGGGAGGACGTGAGCGCCACAGTTTATTAAAATAAAATTGACACGGATTCGAACCCAAATCTATTCAGGGTATGCACACAAGCTTCTAGTTAGTGCGCTACCAAGACTCTCTTCTACCGAATGCTTATGATACAAGATGGTCGTTAGGCTCGTTGGTCAGCAAGAATATGTTGGTGTCGTGCGCGCTGTCACACGAGCAGGGCCGGATTGTGACTTGACGAGAGCCTTAGAAAATATTATGTCGTTTATTTTGTTGTTGTTGTTGTTGTTGTAAAATTAATAAAGAATGTATGTGCAAAATCACATAAATTATATTATTTAATCGTCTCAAAGGCTCTATTGACAGAAACCCTCTTTTGTGAACAGCTATTACGAATGTGTTGTGGCCCCTGTGTATTGTGAGGCCCTAATATGTAGCCTAGTTAGGGCCAGGCCTTTAGTCTTGGCTGGCAGTTAGTCTAAGAGGGAAGCTCCGACTGACAGAGCACTGCTCTTATGATCCGGCAGCTTCTGCTTCATTCGAAACGGTTGGTGTTAGCGTTCCTTTAGAGTTAACAAAGCAAAAATAGAGAGGGATTATAATGCATGGGCAACACAAGGTCCCTGGCTTTGTCCTGTAAAGAGAAGAAACTTCATCTCATCTCTAGTCTTAACTGGTGCCACTATGAGCTTTGATTCCCAGGTCCCCTATAGGACAATGGTACTCTATCGTCTGGTGAGATGTGCAGGTGCCGAAAGGTTCAATGGAGATTCTAGAATTTGCTTATGTTGAATTCGCATCCGAAAAGTGTCTATTTGAGTCACTAGGTGTCAATCTTTTTCACGCTGCAATCCTAATGGGGAAAATTTAATTAAATATAATGGAACAGTAAAACAGACATTGATGTTGCTACCTACCTGGAAACAACGTTCTGGAAAGGGACACCTGAATGTGCAGAGCGTCGTAACTTGGCAGCCATGCTGGAGTCTGAACTTGACACGGCGTCATCTTTGACTGGCTCCACCAGGAATCTAAGTATGAAGGCGGCAACAACATTTCAGACGCCAAAAAGGTAAATTCTCTTAACTGACACAGTTATCACACAATTGTAACATTATGATCTCCCCAAAAAACAGATTATATCAGTATATTCATAACAACACTGCTACCAGTGCCAAAAATTGTGAAATTAACACACGTGAGACGAGATGTCAAATGAAGCTGAATCATCTGAGATCAAGATGGAAATAGTAACAGACGCAAAGGATCAAATGTTTGATCATCTAGTTCAGTTGTTCTCAACCTTCCTAATGCCGCGACCCTTTAATACAGTTTCTTAGGTTCTGGCGACCCTTCAACCATACAATTATTTTTGCTGCTACTTCACAACTTCAATGAATATGTGTTTTCCGATGGTCTATGGCGACCCTTGTGAAAGAATCGTTCGACCCAAAGGTTGAGAACCGTTGATCTAGCTAGTTAGAATGCAGTCACCTCAACACGGGCGAGGTACCGAACAGATTTGGCTTGTGAGCAAAGGGCGAGTGCAGGGCTAAGTAGAGTTTGATTTGATGAGGTAATTGTTTCAGGACAATGGAACTCCCAATACCCTCATTGTTTACCCTTTATATGTTACGCAAATCTTTAGTCTTCATGTGCCATTCTACTGTTACGTTAACCATCCTAGAGGAGTGGTTGCCCGAGCGGGTACAGCGTAGGGCTCTCATGTGGGAGAAGCGAGTTCGACCCCGTGAGATGATGTGCATTTTTTTCTGTGGGAGTGGGAAAGGCCAAAATAACCTCACCTGCACAACCGGTAGCGACAGCACTAGTTCCCACGCTCATCTCCCCCATCGCCCGTGTTAACACTTGTGTCTATGATTTCTTGTTGTCTTTGGTCGATAAAGGCTTAGTGAGAAAAGGTGAAGGGAGCAGGGGTGGGAGGGGGGTTATCGTATGTATGTTAACTCCCTAGGTTGAGCTTCCCACTCATAGTTTGGGTTCAGTAACTTTACGCTAGCTCGACTGCAGGGACACCTTTCTCATTACTTTAAAAAAAAAAATTACTGACTTGGCAACATAATTTTCTGACTTGCCCTTGTCCCCCCCCCCCCCTCTTCTATGACCACTGATCAGTGCTTAGAGACGTACACACTCATGCATATAAAACCAAGAAAACATACCTGGAGCTCTTTGGTGACCCCACTGACGGCAGTTGTTCGGATCTCTTCTGCTTATTCTTGAACAGGTGTATAGAGAAAGGCAGACTTAGCTTTCTACCCCTGATGTCCCTGCCACCGATGTCGATGTCCGTGTTGGCGCGTTGTCTAAGCTGTGGGGATACAAACTGTGTTCTAGAGGAATATTTTTTTTTAAATGGACACAAGATAACTGGGAACATTGTAGAAGTGATGATATAATTCCTAGCTATGTCATTTGTATCTAAACAATATCATGTTCAAACATAATCTCTGTAATACTGCCCAGGGTTTGTGTTATGCAGAAGAGGGTCTTTATTCCAGCGCCTTTCTACAGCACAAATAACGTTTTATGGAAAGATAGTCGACAGATTATCCTGTGCGAATTGAACCGTCCAGTCTATAAGTGCTTAGATCTCACAGCGTGTGGAGGCTGACGACTCTATATATCGTCCGGAAAGGTATACTATTAAAGTGCCAAAACAGAAAAGTATCCAGTTAATGCAATGTGTATAGTATTGTTGTACATGTCAAAAAATTATTTACTTCAGACACTGATGTTATTTGTAATTTTATTGGAATAGTATCCTGTTTACACTTTCTGGATTGCGATGGGATATTCTTTGTAACCCGAATATTTCGATAATTTTCATGTGTGTTTTAAAAATAGTAGATTGCCACTATTGAATTTATGTTATTAGTGTAGTGTTTCACCACTCATAACTGTACGATTTGCGCAGTTATATTAAAAAAAAAAAAAAAAAAAAAAAAAAAAACACAGAACTATGAAAATTGAAGGAAAGATGATACTAAGGTGAGAAAGAGAATTCTCAAGAGCTATATACATCCTATACTATAATACGGAAGTGAATTAAAGACAGTTGACTAGTTATGAAAAAAAATATATGGAAGCAGCGAAGATATGGTTTTACTGACGAATGATGAGAACACACTTGACAAATAAAAAAAGCAAAGACGATTTCTTCAAAGAAACTCACCACGAGAACCGATTGCCCACATCAGAAGGAGACAATCTACATTCTTTGATAATGTCATAAGAAGGAGAAAACGAGTACATCGTGACGGTGAAAAAGTTGAAGGGGAAAAGAGTCAGGGGAGACCGAGCGAGAAGATGTTAGTCAGTTTGACATGGCATGGAAGATCATTGTGCCAGAACTGACAGAAAGGGCACAAGACAGAAGGTTATGAATCGATATGATACCAAAGCCACTTTACGTGAACTATAAGTAGAATGAAAGACGATACGATTCAAACACGTTAAGATTTAAATTTGGTTTATTGAAACTCATTCTCCATAACCCTGTGGCCACATTCATGCTAGTCGACCTCTGCCTCTTTCTTTCACCGATCTCTCCTCCTTCATGCATTGCCCCCCCCCCCTCTCCCCGATTAAAGCAGTGTAACGTTTTATATTTTCGAGGTAAATGAGCGTCAGTTTTATTCCGTCTTCCTATAATACATTTGTTACATACATATTCCGTCCTACTACTTTCCCAGTACATCTTTTCATTGTCCTCCACCTGATTTGTTCTTTTCTTCCCTTCTCCTCTGTCCCACTCCTTCTTTCACCTATTTATGTGTCATGCTACTTGTGTTTCCTTCTTCCTCCTTCGTCCTGCTAAACCATCTTTCACATAAGCGCTCACTCACTTTTTTTTAAAATTCTTTCTTCGCCACTTAATTACTCCTTCTCCTCATCCTTCATCTTCATCATCTTTCTTCCCCGCGTCGTTCTCTTTTCTTTCTTGCTACGGTCGATGTCTTAAGTTAAAAAAAAAAACCAAAACTGTCAATTACTGCCTTTATCATACCACTTGTGCGGTGTAGGCAGGGGGTTATTTAAGCCTCAGAATTTAAGGCCTTATGGCTAGTGCTGTTGCCACGACTGTGCAGGTGAAGATTTTATTTTTCCTCTGACAGAAAAAATCTCCAGCCTTCCCGAGGATTCGAACCCGGGTCTCCGTCTTATAGTTAGCTTCGTCTAAAGTTGTACACGCCCTCTGTTTTTCCCCTTCAAGCTAACGGAAAGGGGAGGGGCATGCACTCACTTTTTTAACATGAAGAACGTAGGAGGGGTCATGCCCTCTGTTTTTCCCCTTCAAGCTAACAGGAAGGGGAGGGGCATGCACTCACTTTTTTAACATGAAAAACGTGGGAGGGGTCATGCCCTCTGTTTTCCCCCTTTAAACTAACAGGAAGGGGAAGGGCATGCGCTCACTTTTTATAACATGAAAACGTGGGAGGGGTCATGCCCTCTGTTCTTCCCCTTTAAGCTAACAGGAAGGGGAAGGGCATGCACTCACTTTTTTAACATGAAAAACGTTGGAGGGGTCATGCCCTCAGTTTCTCCCCTTTAGGTTAACAGGAAAAAAGGGTAGGTGGTTGGGGGGGGGGGGAAGGATAGAACCCTTCTGCTTTTCCCCTTCAAGTTGACAGGAAGGGGAGGGGTGATGTGAATTAAATGTAACGCTGTTTCAGAGAGTTATATAAGCGGGCACTGTGACAAGCAACTGAGCACAAAATTCCTCCCCCCATCCCTCCCCTACAGCCACCCAATCAAACCCACCCACACTGTTTCCCCGGTGTCAATGCGGTCTTCTGATGATAACGAAAATAAAATCCTAAAGTTGAAATGGGCGACTTCGATCCTCCGGACTTTTTAACTTTCTAAGCAACTAAAAATATTAATAGTTCTGTACTGAGCAACTGCAATTATTTAAGGCTCTGTAGTGTTAAGCATTTGCAAGTATTTATGGTTCTGTGTTAAGCAACTGCAAGTATTTATGGCTCTGTGTTAATTTAAAAAAAAAAAAAAAAAAACAGTTATCGCTCTGTGTTAAGCATATGCAAATATTTATGGCTTTGTATTAGGCAACAGAAAACATTTATGGCTCCGTGTTAAGTAGCAAAAAACCTGTGTGGCTCTATGATAATTCAAAACACGACTGGTGCTGCGATAAAGCATTCAAATGTTTGTGACGTTCCGTGATAAAACAGCTACATGGATTATCTGTTAATAGCACATTTAAAATATGTATGACAAGCAACTACAAACGTTAAAGCAACAAACAAATATAAATTGTATAAGCAAGAAATCTAACACCTCGTCTTTAATAAAGAAAGCTATAATCTTTCAAGCTTTCTTTCTCTGGCTTTTTCTATATTTGGCGATCACATTATAAATGCTAGTGTTTTTGAAGATCTATGTAGTGTTTTTGGAGTTCTTCTTTAATTCTACACAGCCTGGAGTTAAATGTTGAGTCAGTGGGCCAGTGTGCCTTTCCGAGAGGATTGTTCTGAGGAGGATCCTGCAAAAGTTATTAATTAGTTCATTAGTCTAATCCTTTCTTAGTTAGTACAAACTCATATTAGGCATGGTTGGACTGTAACATTAGATCTGTCGATACCAAGAATATAAATAACAATAATTAGATTAGCAAAGTATATGTCATTTAAAAAACACAATTACAGTAAGGACACGCACAACATTGTGGCCACAAGCCTACATAAAAACATGCACGCACTTATACAAAAGGAAATATGTGTAATGTTAAATGTTGAATTAAAAATCGACATCACAGCACTCGGTCACTTCCAAAAGTGCTCAGTCCCCATCTTCAGCAGCAAGCGAAGAGTTCCAATTCCGATGGTACCAGTAACCGTCTATTTGTATAGCCGTTTCATCCTTCCACTGGGTGTTGAGCGTCGGCCACATCCCCTGGTAACTCCTTGTAGCACCATTCTCCTTAGACCGTAGTGATCTCACTGCGCCTCCGCACTGTTCACTCGCTCCCAAAGGGCGTTCACAATATCTAACTTGTCATACATCAATTCACCACCAAGTGGTGCAGAGCCAACTAATCTATCTGCTTGCTCTTTTCCCAACACACCGGCATAACCTGGAGAAAATATTCAAAGGATGCTAACTACGCGGAACCTCTAAAGTGATGCTTCAAATAAGGAGGAAAAAAAATAAGAAATTAATGTTGAAGTAATTAAGTTACGGCAAAAAGATGTAAACAAAATGAAGAAAATAACTGTAATAGTGATGCTGCTTATAATATTAATTACAATAATATTAAGCGATATAACTGTGTATAAAGTAGGTATTTGTGATGTTACTAGACATTTCTAGGCTGAGTAGTTTGTCATTAGCCTCTAAACGGCCAGCTCTCGATACCACTGTCAAAGGTTACGCAGGGTGGTCTGCTGCCAGACTGCCTGCAGCCAGACACCTTAGAATCACGAGGCTACGTGACTCTAAACCAAGTATATTTATTACGGTTAGTGGTGTTAATTAGGTGTATCTTTTCTACACTTTCTTTCGCACAACAGTTACTTGTTAAAAACAAAACAAATGTCTTTATAGAAGGATACATATCTCTGAATGTTTGGAAAATATCCAACATCTCACTAGGCAGAATACTTGAAAAATTAAAAGAATTTTGGCAACTTAGTCCTTGAGGTGTCATAGCATTCTTTACGCTTTACTTGACTGCTCCATGTGTAGTATGTTTTTGACATCTACTCAAGTTGTCTATCCTACCAAACTCATTTGATTCCAAATGTAATTATAATTAGTGTTATCCAACAAAGGCGGTTAGATAAAAAATTAACAATACAAGATTGTGACTTGAGGGTTCATAGTAACGATTTGTGAGGATTATCATCACAGCACTTCCGACAAATCCATAAGTGTTTCGATCTCCTCCTCAGTAGCCCCAGATGCCTAAAGTGGTTGATTTCGTCTGTTCTGTCATGAGAGTAATGAGAATCTCTTCTTTCTCAAAAGTGAAGTAATAACGAAGGAGGTTAAGGATAGACCAAGTATACTAGCTAGAGGTTATAATATAAACAATTTTCGTTGTGCAGATGATACAGTATTATTAGCTAAACACGTAGAAGACCTACAACAACAGTTAGACATTGTGGTACTAGAGAGTGCCAAAAAAATGGACTCTCCTTGAATGTGAGGTAAACAGAAACGATGGTTATATCAAAGAAGAAGATGATGGGCACAGGAAATAACAGACATTGACAAGGAAAGTGAGTGAGGTAGAAGAGCTGGCGAGGGAATAAGTTTCTTTTGGGGGTTCTGTGACTGATGGCGATTGTCTGTAAAGGACCTGCTACATAAAAATGATTCTCAAGCTAACTCATTCAGTACCAAGCAGTTGTTACTTCAAGTCATTTCTTTCAAAGACGTCGTTACTTCAAGGAATAGGTGACTGACTCTTTGGAGTAATATGACGCCTACTTGAGACACAAATATTTAAAATAATACGGAGGGCAAAATGGGTTAGTGTAACAAATGGACTAGTGAATCAAACTGGACTAGTGTAACAAACAGACTAGTGTAACAAACAGACTAGTGTAACAAACGGACTAGTGTAACTAATGGACTAGTGTAACTAATGGACTAGTGTATCAAATGGGCTGGTGTAACAAATGGACTGATGTAACAAACAGACTAGTGTAACAAATGGACTAGTGTAACAAATGGACTAGTCTAACAGATGGACTAGTGTAACTAATGGACTGGTGTAACAAATGGACTGATGTAACAAATGGACTAGTCTAACAAATAGACTAGATTAACAAATGGACTGGTGTAACAAATGGTCTGGTGCAACAAATGGACTGGTGTAACAAATGGACTGGTGTAACAAATGGACTGGTGTAACAAATGGACTGGTGTAACAAATGGACTGGTGTAACAAATGGACTGGTGTAACAAACAGACTAGTGTAACAAATGGACTGGTGTAAGAAATGGACTGGTGTAACAAACAGACTAGTGTAACAAATGGAATAGATTAACAAATGGACTGGTGTCACAAATGGACTGGTTTAACAAATGGACTGGTGAAAAAAATGGACTGGTGTAACAAATGGACTGGTGTAACAAATGGACTAGTCTAACAAATGGACTGGTGTAAAAAAAAAATGGACTGGTGTTAAAAAAAATGGACTGGTGTAACAATGGACTGGTGTAACAAATGGACTGGTGTAACAAATGGACTAGTCTAACAAATGGACTAGTCTAACAAATGGACTAGTGTAACTAATGGACTAGTCTAACAAATGGACTAGTCTATCAAATGGACTAGTGTAACTAATGGACTAGTGTAACTAATGGGCTAGCGTAGAGGAGGGTATGTAATAGCTTTGATCGCCTTTTACAGTTTCCATTGCAAAGAAAAAAAGGCATAATTTTTTTAAATGTTTAATGGACTTTCTATTTTTTCACCAGTACGATAATTGGTTTACGCCTCGAACATAGCGAAAAGAACGCTTGATCCATGCTTATGTAACATGTGAAAGCTACCAGTGCATTTAACATCCAAGCTACGAGAAGGAAAATATCACGTGATATCCTCTCTAGTGTAATCGCTACCAGCTAACGCTTGCCTACACATGGGAACTGAACACGTCTCGCCAGCGGAATGGATGGATAACAAAGAGCCCAGAAAAGTTCGCAACGTCTTTTAAAACAAATAAACGCGTGCAGCGCTGCTTGGTACCGAATGAGTTAATGGCATAAAGAGACATAAAAGCGATGTTTTTGTTAGTATAGGTTAGTGCTACAAAGCAAAGCCCCAAAACCTGCATATAGTCTTCTTCCTCTTCTGAGAGGTCGCCTGTTACCGGGACATCGATGGATGACCTCCTCATCCTCTCCTCGCCAAGCTTCTCCCTGTCCAGCATGTAATACGCCCTCCCATTGGACGTGTGGTGACCTTGTCCCCCATCGCTGGAGGTTAGTGTAGTCTCGGAGCCTCCAGCCGAGTGGTGGTGGAGTGGTCGGACGTGTAACAGGGATAGTAAAGAGTCGGTTATCGATCCTTTCCCTCGCTGCCTGCAAAAGAAAAAAACACTTGATTAAAATACACAATGCGCATAATATATTGTAGTTGTTCCCAATAGGACAATCGCTTCCGGTTAGTATAACGGATAGGTAGGGTTTACTGTTTTCAGTCGCAGACAACTTTTGCTTTTTACAGCAGTTAGCCATTGCAATTTACTCTACGTGTAGATTCAAATGATAGTTCATCGTCCAGCTACTGAGGTGAGTGCATGACATGACACTGTGAGCTGCGAATTCCATATAGAATGCTTGTCGACTGTGCCAAATGGGGTTTGTTTTGTGAACTGCAGATTCAGAACATTTTAGGCAATGACGTGGGTCGGTTGTCAGAAAACGTCTGGTGCGTTTTGCTATTAATTCGCACAAATCTGCTGCTGCTGTCGCTTCCACCAATGATGAATTGAATTTCCAACGCCAGAAAGTTTGTGTTGGGGCTTCTGGCGTCTGTCTCGTGCATTTGGTGTGTGTGTGTGTGTGAGTGCGGGCGTGCTAAGTGTGCGTGCGTGCGTATGTGTATGCTGTTGGCTTTGCTGAGACTTCAGTCTGTGTCAATATTTCCACAAGGGACAGCGATTGACAGTCTACTGATATTTAGTTGGAGCAGGAACAGGACAACTACAGGGTGACTGGTTTGCCATGAGGTTGGATCTGCAATAACCTGATCTATTAGACAAGAAACGAGTACCCTCTTGTTCTCCAATTCCTGCCAATGACCCCCTAGTTTGCAACAGACATATTTGAAAGAAAAAAAAGAGTAAATTTATACTCTTCTTTTCCTGCCTTCTATCCCCCAATGGAGCATAGGCCCTCAACCAACTCATGCCAAGTCGTTCTATCCTTCACTATTGCATGCAGCTCTCCGCATGTCCTCCCCTTCTTTTTAACTTACCTCTCTAGCTCCCTTTTCAATGTATATTTGGTCTTCTTTTATTTCTATAACCCTGTGGGTTCCAATGCAAAAGTATTCTAGTTATTTTGCTCTCAGGTTCTTTCAACTTGTCCTATCAAACGGCAGTGTCTTTTCTTCACCTCCTGGTCCACCGGAACTTGTTTAGTTCTCTTCCAAAGCTCTACATTAGTGATTCTATCATACCATATAATTTCCTCGACTCTCGTACGAGTTCCAGAGCCCTGCTGTGGAGAAAAAAAAAACTAGACTCACTGCCTTCCCAACAAGAGTCGACTCATTGGATGTTTCCTTCGAAGTCGGAGTGCATCTGCCTGAGAGGCAAGGAACCAACAGTCTCCATACAAATAGGTCATTACTGTAAAACGGATGTACAGGCAACACTCAGGTTTTGGAACAAGTCAAAAGTGCAGAAGTGGATGAACAAGCAGATTGGAGTTTTCAGCCGGTGAACGCGAAGACGAAGAAGAAGAAGAAACTGGGTTCTCAAGTCAACCCAGCCTGAAATGGGTACTAGGTAATGTCATGGACAGTGAAAGCGACAGGCGTGATGTTGACCAAATCACCCATCGAGTGCCGAACAAAAGAGTCTAGCATCATATGCCTCATGTCCGACTGTCCTAAACACGACCCTTGACTTTATTATACAATAGAGAGAGAGGTTCATCATTAAGGATGAGCGAGACAACATTAAGGGGCCCATTGTATCATTTAGAGAAAAAGATGCAACGGTCTTTATTTCTATTTTGATTTAGATAAATCAAATTAAACATACTTGATGCGAGATCAGATCAGCTAGGTCTGAAAATCCATAAGGAAAAAAAAGACAATAAGAATAAATAAGGCAAATAGTAATGTGATTTCTCTTAATGGCACCCCACTCCAACACGTATAGAGTCTTACCCTATTTGGGCAGTAATGTAGATTAAGATAGGGGAACCGACAGAGATATATTACAATTACGAATACAAAAGGCAAGAGGAGCTTTCATAGCGCCAGGGAATCTGCACTAGGACAGAATAGAGTACAAGATCCTTATCCCTGCCATTAGGCATATTAGGTGTTTAGTGCCTATATTTTACAGAGCAATGGGCAGTAAAGGGGTGACATGGTCGACATTACGCCGGCCGCCTTTATTTCTCATATCGCTACCTATTACTCAATTTATGCTGGGTCAGCCTGGGATCCTGGGTCATTTTTTAAAGAAAAATCCGAATAGATGTGGATTTAAACCCAGGAGCTTGGTGCCCATATGCGATCGTTTAGCTGCTACGCCACGGCGGCTCGCGAAATGGGCAGAATTCAGAAAAGAAACCGAAGCAAAGTTAAATGGAGGAAATAACCAGAAAGACAACAAACAAACTCACCGCGGTGACCATTCGTGCTGGTTGGTGGTATCAGTTTCTGGAATCACCAGTGTATCATGGTCGTGTTTTGGAGGCCTGTAGACAAAAAGATGGATCACTACATTGCTAAATTCATTCATTCATTCAGTAGCATGTCCCTCGCGGAACCTCGCAGCCATAACAACCCTCCGGAAAACCTTCCTATCCTGAGCAAGATGTCCTGCGTCTGATACACCCATCTGGAGATCATCTGCCACATCCTGCACCAATCTTCTCCTTGGCCTTCCTCTTCCACTCTTCCCAGGCATATACCCCTCCATTATTGTTCTCTCTAGACTTTCATGACGTTTCAAGTGACCAAAATATTTCAATTTTCTTTGTTTTATTGTCTTTACTAGCCAACCCTCTTCAATATTCAGCTCTTGAAGTATGGATGCATTTGTTCTTTTCTTTACCCAAGATATTCTTAGAACCTGTCTGTAACATTTATAGTCAAATGCATTTATGCGCTGTTCCGCTTGTTTAGTAAGTGTCCAGGTCTCACAGGCGTATGTTGCAATGGGAAAGATGCATGCTCTTAAAAATCTGACCTTTGTTATTCTAAATAAAAGTTTTAAATATGACTAGAAGGCTCAGCTGGGGCGGGGTGGGGGTGTGGGGGCGGATTGGGGGGGGGGGGGGTGGAATGGGAAAGACGCGCACAAAAACAACTATACTGGATAGACGAAGTTTAGAATTTTGCTTTTCAAGCTTTCTTTTTTTTTTTTTTTTTTTTTGAATATAATGTTTCAGATTTATTATTTTATTTACTTACCATTCAGCCCAATAATATTATCAAGCACTTAAAAAGACTATGCCCATTTAAGCCTCATCCAATTTAGAAAATGTGCTTGAGGGCTCAGTCCCCCCGTAACACTCCATTAAATTTTATCGGCGCCGATGCTTAGCACTCTAAAGGTCAATGGTTTCAAGAAGGATTCTGTCCTTGGGTTCTCGAGTGCAGTTATTTCTGAGTTTTCCGAAGACCTCAGCTGCTTATCCTTTAAACGTAATTGTTCGTTCTTTCGTCGTTCATTGTTTTCTCTCTCTCTCTCTCTCTCTCTCTCTCTCTCTCTCTCTCTCTCTCTCTCTCTCTCTCTCTCTCTCTCTCTCTCTCTCCCCCTCCTCCCCCTTTCTATAGTACTACTTCAATTAACCTTCGTGCACTTAAAAAATAAATTCAGTTCACTTATTCTCACGGCTTTTATTTTAAGATACATAAATTATACTTTTGGAACCCCTCCGTCTTTACAGGTGATAGTGCTCCATTGTACTTTAGGAACACACAGGACTCACACAGGACTCACACGGGACTCACACAGGACTCACACGAGACTCAGAACTCACACAGACTCACACACGACTCACACAGGACTCACACAGGACTCACACGGGATTCATGACTCACACGGGACTCACACGGGACTCACACAGGACTACACAGGACTCACACAAGACTCACACAGGACTCACTCAGGACTCACACAGGACTCACCCAGGACTCACCCAGGACTCACATAGAGACTCACGGGACTCACACGGGACTCACACAGGACTCACACGGGACTCACACAGGACTCACATAGGACTCACACGGGACTCACACAGGACTCACACAGGACTCACACAGGACTCACCCAGGACTCACCCAGGACTCACATAGAGACTCACGGGACTCACACGGGACTCACACAGGACTCACACGGGACTCACACAGGACTCACACGGGACTCACACAGGACTCACTCAGGACTCACACAGGACTCACCCAGGACTCACCCAGGACTCACATAGAGACTCACGGGACTCACACGGGACTCACACAGGACTCACACGGGACTCACACAGGACTCACACAGGACTCACACGGGACTCACACAGGACTCACACAGGACTCACAGCGATGGCAGTCTGAATCTTTCACAATAAGTTCTTGCGATTTTAGAACCATTGGTGCCATCACATTTGTTTTCTCCTCTGTCCGTACTCCTTTACTAATATTCTTTCTTTATGCAAAACGATCCATGGCATCATATTCCCAATAAATCCATCTCAATATCTGGATTACATATATCCCACTTGTGAGCTTCTTTAAATCTTTGTAGAGGTTCTACCCATCTGTAATTGGCCAAAGAGGATGTCCCTAGGAACTCTACCATCCTCCATACTCTGGGTGTGTCATAAGCTTCTGAGCCTTAGAAAAGTTGAACATAATCTGCTGTGATACCTGCTACTTCCAATACCTCAGTGTTCGTAATCTTGTCTGGCTACCTAATGCTAAGTATTCTTCCTAGATACTGCATGGACATTTTGTAGCCGTTTCTCCTTAAACCTAGCACCACAAGAGCTAGGAAACATGATTTCCATTCTCGCTCTGTCTAAACCACAGGGGTGTTTAATTTGGACAACACATTTAAGTTTCTGAGAAAATAAAATACGACCGATTCCTCACTGTAGTGAAAAGGTCCTCCACTTTAACTTATAGGGGATATGTCTCAAAGGCTTAAGTCCTGTTTAACTGCGCAATAATAACAATAATACATTTAAAAAATTAGTATAGTGTGTTGAATTGCAAACAAATATGATAATATATGTGAATTAATATGAAATGCATGAGCAAATACTTAACAAGAGAACGTCTAGGCATGGTGAAAGGGAATGGCGCTCTGCTCTTTAACAATTTTTGGGGAAGATGACACCCAACCCTAAAACAATTGGAGGGGGGGGGGGGGTTTTAGCTCGCGGGCTCAGGGTGCTTGTAACGGATGCATTTGACAAACAGTAACAAAAAGCAGAGGAGGTTGCTGCAGGAGACAGATCTGGATGATGTACAGTCCTCAAGCATGGCGCATCAGCCTGTCAGGCAGCGGAGTTTACGCTGACCAAAAACAGAGGCAGGCTAGAAAGAACCGTGTGGCAACTTCTACCTCTTCTACAGCTTTCATCACTTGTCCCCACTGCCCCAAAGCTTTATCCGGGCTCAAATTGGACCCATCAGCCTTTTTCGTACTTATTCATTGTTCATTGACTACTGCTGGACGTTATGTGGTCTTCATTATTTGTGATAAAAAGATATCAAGCCAGACGGAAAGTTGAACCAGTATGCTGCACAATACCACAAACATATACCATAAATTAACGTTTCGGCAAAAGATCTTTCATCGACACATGCGCAAATCTACTATACCTCAAATACGAACAAGTATACACAAAACCACTTAACTGACGTATCTTCTATAGCAAAACGATTTATGTCTGGTCAGTAGAATACCTAGAAAGTGTGTGGTCACCGGAGATAAATACTAGCCAGAAAACTTGTGACGGACGAACAACACACACACACACACAGCAGTAGTATCTCCTTTTTCTTCTCGTTCACCAGCTGTAAACGCTGGTGCAAAGTTCTAGTTGTTTGTCCACTTCTGGACTACAGCCCTCTTCAAGAACTTGAGAGCTGCGTGTGCATCCGTTTGACAGATATGACTAATTTGTATGCAGACTGTTGATTCCTTGCCTCTCATGCAGATGCACTTTGACTCTAAAGGAAGCTTTCAATTAGTCGACTCTTACGACATGCTTTAGTGTAGGCAGTGGGTCTATTCTTGTTTTCCCTATAACAGGACCCCGGAACCCACACGGGGACAGCAGTAGTATAAAAAGTGATGTCGTAACAACTGTTACAGACATAAGGAATTCTTCTTTTTCTTCTTCCCTTACACCTTGTACCTCATCGAAGTGTCGGGGGGGGGGGGGGGGGCGGGAGATGTAATGTTCGTTGATGAGCTCTGTCAAGAGCACTATTAAGACTGATGTTCATTTCTGTAAGGCTGTTTTTAATGCCATCACTCCATATTTCCGAGGTCTTCCACTCGCTCTATACTCGTTGTAACGTTTTAGTGTAGCTCGCTGTGGCAGACAGTACCAGGGCATTCTTGTTAGGTGTCCAAACTACTTCATTTGTTATTCTTTGATGACCTGTAAGACTGACTTTATTCCTAGCATTCGCCTGATTTCATGATTTCGTATTCTGTCTCTCCTTGAAACTCCTGCAGCTCTTCTAAGGCATTTCATCTGACATAAGGAATAAAGCAGCAAAACAGACCACACAAACATTAGTTAAGAAATTTGTACTTACGCAATATTAAAAGTTGAGCCTAGGAAATTGGGCCTGATAAACCTGGCTGAGGACTCCGTGTAAGGGACATCAGGGGTAGAATCATTCCAGAAACCGTCTTTCACAAAATCAGGATGTTTACCGTAAATTTTGTCCACCAGAGTGAAGGCCACCTAAAATGTTACAAAATAAGGGAGGTATGTGGTAAATGTCGGCTTCTGTGGCTTAGGCGTTGTGAACGCGCTTCGCAATGCTGAGGTGCCGGGTTCGATTCCAGCTGCGGACGATTCGTCTTTCGTTGATTTTGATAGTGGTACCGAGAGCTAATCTTATGTGAGCAATGACAAACTATTGGTTCTGCAAAGTCCTGTAAAGGATGCGCAATTAACTTTAACGTGTTAAAAAATGATTTGTACAAAGAACCTACCTAAGAAATATTTCGTGTAATAAACGAAATATAGAAATATTTCATACCATACCCCCTTTTCCCTTCCCAGTTCCCGTCTGCCTGCCTGTCCTGTCTGTCCTGTCCTGTCTGTCCTGTCCTGTCTGTCCAGTCCTGTCTGTCCTGTCCTGTCTGTCCAGTCCTGTCTGGTCTGGTCTGTCTGGTCTGGTCTGTCTGGTCTGGTCTGTCTGGTCTGTCTGTCTGTCTGTCTGTCTGTCTGTCTGTCTGTCTGTCTGTCTGTCTGTCTGTCTGTCTGTCTGTCTGTCTGTCTGTCTGTCTGTCTGTCTGTCTGTCTGTCTGTCTGTCTGTCTGTCTGTCTGTCTGTCTGGTCTGGTCTGGTCTGTCTGGTCTGTCTGGTCTGTCTGTCTGTCTGTCTGTCTGTCTGTCTGTCTGTCTGTCTGTCTGGTCTGGTCTGGTCTGGTCTTTTTTTTTTTTTTTTTTTTTTTTTTTGTGTTTTGTATGTTGCTAGTATTTTTGTAAGTCTGTTTTTACATTTGTTGCCGTTTGTGCGTGTTATTGTTGTGTTGTTTTGTGAGTGCTTTTCAAAATTTTATTCAAATTACAAACAAAAGGACATGGAAAAGTAACGAAACAAAGTGAAAGGAAAAAGCTCTGGGGCGGGGAAAAATGAAGAGAAGGGGGACTCCACTCATTTTTTGGGTTCGCACCAAGAGAGGGTTCCGTATTGTTTCAGTGGTCTCCTTCTTGCGTTGACGTTTCTTAGGAAATAAAGTGATTGTCCTCTTTTTGATGGTCTTGCCAGTGGAAGGTTACATCTGACGCAGTGGACTTTGGTGACTGTGTTCGAGAATGTGGTCGATTCCGCCGAGCACTCTGGACATAAAATGTCCTTGATGTGCGGCTCGACATCAACATCCGAGTCTGTGCATGAGGAGGATGACTCTTCTTTCGCGGCAGCTGCTGTTGTTTCCTCTGGGGATTCCTTGTTTTCCCTTTTCGCAGCAGGTGAAGTCTCATTGGAGCTAGCCTTCTGGCGGCTTCGCTTTTTGACCTTCTTCTGCTTCTTGCCTTTGGCCTGTGAGCTTTCTTCTTCTTCTGTTGAGGACTGCGATATCACTTCCGTAGCGACTGCCGCCTCTTCCTGGGGTGGATGAACCTCCTCCGGAATGGGTGCAGTTGCTGGTTCTGGTCGTCTCCTCCTTGTAGGGCACTTGTTTGCCCAGTGGTCGTTGTGCCCGCAGTGAGGACAATTCGTCCTTCTGCCTGGCACAGTGACCCAGAGCTGGTGTTTGCCGCCGGGGAGCGCCGGATGCCTCATGTTAACATAATGAGGGATCGGTTTTGTCTCCCTCACCGCGGCATGCCATCTGTCGATACCGTGCTTTGTTTGATAGGTTTCGGGATCCTCGTCTCCCGTGATGCCGGTGATGATTTTTTTCACGGTCTGCTCCGTGGCTGTGACTGGCATCCAATGGATGCAGATTTTTGTTTTTACTTTGTCTAGATGTTCTAGAAGAACATCTACGCCTTCTACCGTTTTCCGCGCATTGTGCAGGAGGTCGTAGTGAGTCCTGTGAGCTGCTTCGGTGAGGGTGAGGTACCACTCGGTGGTCTTCGAGTAGCGGTACAGCGCCGCTATTCCATGGATAGGCACTCCGACTGGGCCTATCAGGACGCTGGTCAGCCAGGCGGTCGCCGCCCTGGAGGCTGCATTGGCACCGGACAAAGACACAATGATCGTATTACCTGTCCGGTGTATCCTTCCTCCAGGGAACGCGTCCGTCGGCACGTCCAGGTCCAGGTTGGTGACGGCTCTCTGGTCTGGTATGGTCTGGTCTGGTCTGGTCTGGTCTGGTCTGACTGTCTGTCCCGACATTCTTATAAAATGACGCCATGTGTCCACTGACACAAATGAGTTTCGCATATCAGCGATACCTCATGTCTTTATATAAGCGAGCTTGCATAAAAAGACCTTACCAACCCGGTTATGCGGGGTACACCAGGGTACGCTAGTGCTTACAACAGCCGTTACGGATGTCATAACTATGTATGTCCGGGTATTACGTGAGCGACAGGGGTGTCAGACTTTCAGGTAACAGCCTCGGCGCCCGGAAACCGGGGCGCCCGGAAACCTGGGCGCTTAGTCATTTTAAGCCCCATCCGCTTCCCAAATATTTAGTTTAGGGCATACAGTGCACCCCCCCCCCCTTTTTTTTCCCCTTAACTGTCCATTTTGTAAGGGGACAAAGTTGCACACCCACTCCCTCCCTTCGAACTATGTCTAGCAATCCTTTGCTTAGTCTTTGTGTATAGATATCTTCTTCTCTTCTTTGTTTATCGGCTGTAAGCTCCGGGGAAAAGTCTTGGTTGTTCGTCTATTTAGACTTTGGCTTTGTGCCAGGTACTGAGTGTTGCGTGTACATCCGTTTTACTGGCTTATTTGTGTGCAGCTGGCTGTTCCTAGCTACTCGGGTAGATGTACTCCGACTTCAAAAGAAGTACCCAATTAGTAGACTCTTACGACATGCTTGTTGGAAAAACAGTGGGTCTATTCTTGTTTTCCCCACAATGGTGCCCTGGAACCCACATGGGAAGTTTATAGATATGATAATATATACTGTGTCTGCGTTTTTCAAATTATTATTTGAATATCTCCTACCATAATTCCATTTAGTGGGATTGACACCCCAGGAATAGGAATCAAGTAGGCACAAATCCCTCAAACGATGTTCAACAGTATAGATAGCTATACTAAAATGTTAGTTGCGTAACCCTTACAGGAGGTTGCAGAACCAAGCCCAGCATTTTTTGCTATTGTGGTTTTTCTAAGCAAATTTACGTCCAGTAGTTTGCCACTACAGCTATACTGGGCACTCACCGGATACCGTAGTCCTTGAGAAAGCAGCCGTGCCCAGCATCTACACTCTACTGATGCGGTATCAAATTCGTTGGGCTGGTCATGTGGCACGCATGCCAGATAACAGGCTCCCAAAAAAAAAATTCTTCTATGGTGAGCTGCAAAATGGGAAACGTTTCCAAGGCAGGCAAAAATGAACGCTTTAAAGTCACCTTGAAGTCTTCACTCAAAGCATTTGGGATGAATGACACCAATTGGGAGGCTGCCTTTCAAGACCGAAATGCATGGTGTGCAACTCTACACAAGGGCGCAGCAACATGTGAAGCAAACAGAACAACAAGACTTTTTAAGAAAAGGATGGACAGAATGGCGACTACAGGAGATCCCCTCCCTGGCACAACATTCCCTGTCCTCACTGCCCAAGAACTTTTCGTTCCCCCATCGGCCTCATCAGTCATCTTCATACTCATACTTGATGAAAAAAAAGTGGTCATCGTCTTCTTGATGGACAAAAAAACACACACACACACACACACGCGCGCACGCACGCACGCACACACACACACACACACACACTCTCTCTCTCTCTCTCTCTCTCTCTCTCTCTCTCTCTCTGGCCACTCAGAGAAAGGAGCCGTTTCCACTCCTTCAGGTGTATAGAGCTAGACTATATTTCAAAGACAAGTCGGCGCTCACTGAGTGATGTGGTCAACTTCTCAGGACTTTACCTGATATCATTTAAGGCTAGGTCGACCAGGCAGCTAAGGTCATTTAAAAAAAAAAGTCATGGGGCCTAAACCCATGACTTTTGAATCCACAGGCGAGCATCTAGCCGCTACACCACGACTTTTCCCATGTGGCACTCAAAGACTACTAATTCACATGCAATTCAAGCTGGGTGTGTGAATGTAAAATGTCCACTTGCTAAACAGAAAGCTCCTGCGAAGTAAATTAATCAAGTAACAGAAAGTATCTGCTGACCACACATAACACAGAGTGCCGATTTCTCTACAAGATATATGTTTAGCCCTATATGCCAAATAGACCTGAAGGTGTAGAAAAGGGCAATTTACTTGTAAAGGAAACGCGGTACTTACAGTCGTGTGTCTATCCAGCAGCCAGTTAATGTCGAAATCATCGTCATCTTCACCAAAGGGGTTGATCATCTGCTCAGCCACCTGCAACACAAAACACTTACAGTTGTTTACTGATTGCTGGTAATCTGGTAATCTGGTAATCCTAGTTTCAGCATCATAGCAAACGGGTCACCCCATTGTTGCTCCGCTCCTGTGCCAACGAAAAACACTCGTAGCTCACAGTGTCACACCATGCACTCAAGTCAGAAGCTGGGTGACGAAACTATATCCTTCCAGTCTACAAATGGAGCAAAAATGCAACGGCCACCGCCTGGCAGAACTGCCACGGCTTAAAAAAAAAAAAAAAAGTGGCCGTGCGTTTACTGATTGCAACATCAGCAGGGAAATTACTGAGAATGAAAGAAGAAATGAAAGAAGAAACGATGAGAGCTGACCGTCTGAGAAGAAACATACCAAACACAAATGATGACAACAACAATCCTAAAATCCCTTGCTATAATAGACTTTTCTTAACGTGAGCAGGTCTTGTTAATCATACTCGCTGTCGACATTGTCTGTGAGTCCAATGCCTCCTCATAGCACAATTAACGTTATTGTCAGGAAAGTCGGAGAGGTGCCAACAACAACAGTATGGTAATTACTTCCTTATGATAATTTGTAGATCTTACTTTCAGAAATTATTCTGCTTTGGCACCCCCATGCTGGCAGATACTGTGTGTTCTGGTTTATAGCAAAGCTAAGATACATAAGGTTCTCGGCCTAACACATTAGGTTTCAGAAAACTCAGAATTCGTCACATTTCACTACATACTAGTTATAGGGAAATAGGTCCATTATTTCTACCGTAAAAATGGGGTTCCAGAACCCCCACGGGGGAAATGTCAGCAATGACCATTTGATATTTCCACCTTAAATTTAAGAACTGACTTCTTCCATAATTTGTGTCAAGTAAAAAGGGAGGCTTACCACGCCGTTATGCTTATTGAGCCTATAGTGCTAGATCTAAATATTAGAGACCAATCGGCACACGGTAGGGGATGTGATTAACATCACGCCGGCCGACTTTACTTCCCCGGATTTTACGTAGTCTCTATTTAAAGTTGGGCGATCTGGAAGAGAGGGTCATTTTTTAAACATCTCAGGTTAAAGTCCACAATGTATCACGAGCCGCCGTGGTGTAGCGGGTAAACGTTCGCTTGGGAATCTGAAGGTTTAAATCCTCTCGGAGACCGACTTTTGTTTCCAAGCATAACCTTAACTGTCGGGTCGACCCAGCCATAAATGGGCACCAGAAAAAGTCATGCGAAGCAAAGACGACCGAAATTATGATGACCACATAATCCACCGATGGCCAGTTGGTCTTTATAAATGCCCCACATACGCGATGCGCTACTGGCGTACATAGGGACGTTTTGTCTTCTAATTTTTACAATGTGCCACATATAAACATTACAATGAGCCACATAGAAACATTACAATGTGCCACATAGAAACATTACAATGTGCCACATAGAAACATTACAATGTGCCACATAGAAACATTACAATGTGCCACATAGAAGCATTACAATGTGCCACATATAAACATTACAATGTGCCACATAGAAACATTACAATGTGCCACATAGAAGCATTACAATGTGCCACATAGAAACATTACAATGTGCCACATAGAAGCATTACAATGTGCCACATAGAAACATTACAATGTGTCACATAGAAACATTACAATGTGTCACATAGAAACATTACAATGTGTCACATAGAATCATTACAATGTATCACATAGAAACATTACAATGAGCCCTATAGAAACATTACAATGTACCACATAGAAACATTACAATGTGCCACATAGAAACATTACAATGTACCACATAGAATCATTACAATGTGCCACATAGAAACATTACAATGTGCCACATAGAAACATTACAATGTGCTAAATAGAAACATTACAATGTGCCGCATAGAAGCAATACAATGTGCCACATAGAAACATTACAATGTGCCACATAGAAACATTACAATGTGCTAAATAGAAACATTACAATGTGCCGCATAGAAGCAATACAATGTGCCACATAGAAACATTACAATGTGCTAAATAGAAACATTACAATGTGCCACATAGAAACATTACAATGTGCCACAAGGAAACATTACAATGCGTCACATAGAAACATTACAATGTGCCACATAGAAGCATTACAATGTGCCACATAGAAACATTACAATGTGCCACATAGAAGCATTACAATTTGCCACATAGAAACATTACAATGTGCCACAAGGAAACATTACAATGCGTCACATAGAAACAAAAGCAACAACCTTTAGCCAGCCCATGTAGAAAAAGAATTGGAGGATGGTGAATCCAGGAAAGTAGAAATCCTCCTCGAATCCCTTGTACTTCATGGCCGGGTCCAGGTACTGCTGGCCAAACAAGCTGACCGCAAAGTACGAGTAGGCAGCAAAAGTGACCACCTGTCCATAAAACAAGAAACAGTTGTAAGTAGTTCAAATATTACGTAGCATTCTTCTACTTCATGACGTCCATCCCGTGTGGTGTTGGTTGTCGTCTTTATTCACAACCTTTTGTCTCGGTTACTTTAGATAAACTCTGGCACAGATGATCCTCCATGGCACAACCTCAGACTGTCCAGTATAGCTTCTCTTGATCTCCCTCTGCCTCTTCTCCCCTCCAACTTTCCTACTGTCGCGATGTACTTTAGTTCTTTCCTTCTCACGACATAGAATTTTTGAATACAGAAATGCAACTGGAGTTCCTGTGGTATAGCGGCTAGACGCCCGCCTGCGGGTCTGTAGAGTGAGGGTTTAAATCCACCTGGTGGTGGAATTTTTTTCTCTCTATTAATGTGACATTGACTACCGGGTTCACCCAGCCCTAAATGGGTAAAATGTGAAGTCATGGGAAGTAAAGGTTGCCGGAGTAAAATTAACCGCATCATTTGGTATATAAAAATTTGCTTGATGCGCCAGCTGACATTTAAATGAACCTTTTAAATGTTGCAGGAGAATACACACCGATAAAATGTATTGCAATCTTATTAATCAGGCAACCAGTGGAGTCGTCATTGTCATTGGAAATAATCTTTGGCTGTTGAAGAAGGGCACGCAGCTCGTTGGAATGTTCCCATTCCAATGATGCATATACATTTTTTTTTTCGATTCATTCATTCATTCCTTTATAAATTCATAAATATATTTATCCATCCATTTATTACTGCATCCACTATTCATCCATTAATTAATTCATTCACACACACACACACACACACACGCACACACACACACACACACACATTCATTTATTCAACCACCCACTCATCCATCCATCCATCTTTTGCAAACAGACCAACTTAGTGGACATACCTGAGTGTAAACCAATGGAACCGTGATCCAGTCGTAAATAAAACACAGGGAACATCGGTCTCGGAAATCCGCCAATGGCTGTAAATCAAATGAGTCAAAGCTGGTTAGATGCAGACCAACATGGAGTGTTTGTTATTTTTTATTTGTTATTTTAAATAATGCAGATAACACCATGACATGATAGAAAAAAAGATTAAGCATTCCTTCTTGAGACAGATATAAGTCGGAAACTGATTAGAAAATCCACACGCCAGCAGAGAAAATTTTTGAGCATTTTATGAGAAGAAATAGACTATAGATTTTGGGGCAAGGGGGGGGGGGAGGGGGTTAGAAAGTGGATGGTACAGAGACTGCCACCTCCTAGATAGTACCTCCTCTCTGAAAAGTTGAAAATCCCGACAAGTTAGATCCAACAACAGCGGGAAAAGTCTGCCAACATGACATTAGCACTCAGCATACTCCCCGCTGTCCTCTTATCCCGGGGAGTGGGAAAATATAGTTCGGCCCGCACTGATTGTTGTTGGACTTATCCCAAACAAACTGCAACAATTACCATTAGGCAGTACAGGTGGAAAGGAATAAGCATCAACATCTTGATTTTAATGACAAAAATTATTTGGGACGTGCACGCAAAATAACTTTACATTGCGGAGGGGTACAGTGAGAGAAGGCTCCAGTCGGTGCTAGAAGCTGCTGACATTCTACAGAGACAAATACCCGGATGGTTTGGTAACATATATATGGGACGGGACAAGAGCAGCGAACTAATTATCCCGGAATCTGGTGACTGTGTGAGGTGATGAACCATGACCACCAATGCTTATCGGCAAGGCAAATGATGACTAATACACTAAAGCAAACACAGTTGTATCATAATTCCCCGTGTGGGTTCCGGGGCCCTGTTATAGGAAAAACAAGAATAGACCCAGTCTACCCAAAAGCATGACGTAAGAGTAGACTAATTGGAAGCTTCCTTTAAAGTCGGAATGCATCTGCATGGGAGGCAAGGAACCAGCAGTCTGTTCAAAATGAGTCGGATCTATAAAACGAATGCACACGCAAACTCAGATTCTGGAACAGGACTGCAGTCTAGAAGTGGATGAACAACCAAACCTTCCCACCAGAGTTTACAACTAGGTGAACGCGAAAAAGAAGAAGTAGAAGAAAGTTGTATCATAATCATTTGTAAGTAAGTAATAGCAGTAAATCTAAAAATATTTTCCCGCCAGTAGTCCATCTGTCGTTTGGTTCTAGACCCGTAGTATTATAGATCATTCGGCACCCCATGGGTGATGTGGGCAAGATCACGCCTGCCACCTCTATACTCTACAACAGTGGTCCCCCGTTAGTTAAGATTCATAAACCGCTCACTTTTACCCGGAGTGCTGATCGCAGTACCGTTCTCTTCAGACCATGATGATCTATCTGTGCTTCCGCACTGTTCACTCGCACCCACCTCTATTTTCAAACTAGATTTTCTGGTGTCATATGCCAGACTTTGTTGCACTAAGCGACGTCCAAAAACGTTTGCTAAAAACCCCGATGAGCTTCATATGCCTCTCAATACAGAGCCATTTGTATAGATTATCACAACTCCTAGGCGGGAATTGTCATGAATTATTTGTCGAACTTCTGATTCTGCAGCGCCCGCTGGCCAGTCCCTGCACTCACGATCCAATGTGGTCAAAACCCTACGCAAGTCTGACTTCTTTTGGGACATTCTGACACACTCTTCTCCTCGCCCATTGTTATCAAGCCTACACACATGTATAATTGTGTGTTCAGCTTGCGCCATCCAATACCTTTATCTTTTTAGTCTTTGACCCTTACATCTATAGTGCTTCATGCAAGAAGTGTTTCTGAGCTTGCAACACATTGAACCTATCTGAAATAATCAGCAGTGCAAGTATATATAGCATACATTCTACAGGGGTATCTCTTGTACATCCATAATTACCCTTATGGCTTCATCATATTTAAAAATGTCTGCCGAAAAAACCCGTAGTTTTTAAAAGTTATTTAAAAAAAAAATTATTGAATCTATCGGGGTTTTTAAATCCTTGAAAACTGCCCCAGAAGCCCTAATTTTGGGCTGGGTCGATCTGGGAGCCACGGCTATTATTTAAAAACAAAACCCGCCTATTTGGGGATTCGAACTCTGAACCTTCGGGCTGACATGAAAACTTCTAGCCACTGCACAGTTTAATGTAGAAGAGGAAATTAACGACAACTTACCTGCAAGATCATCCTGAGACCGAAGTCAGTGTCAATGATCCCCTCCCGTCGAGCCGTGACCAGGATTTGATTAGCCCACATCAGGGGCACGAAAAACTTCTGGTATTTACATTCTGTACTCTCGAATATGACTTTCTCCTCCTTGGTAATGAAACCTGAAAATGTTTAGAGTCGCGATAATATCAATGTATTCATGTAGTCTGCCCTACCCACATGGGAATACAGGTTAGTTTGTAATATAGGATGTTCCTGTAAAACTGTTATTCGGTTGGCCCGGCTGCCAGGAATTTCTTCCTTTTTGATCCTCATCATCGACATCCTAATCCTTCAGAAAAAATTATTGAAGGAGGAAAACTTGAAAAAAAAAAAAAAAGAAAAAAAGAAACTTCTCGCAAACACACCCTAGCATTTGTTAACGGTTTATGACTTTACCAGGCAGTAGTTGTACGTTGAGTAGTCTGTTTTTCACCACGACGGATTGTAGGGGGTGGGGTGGGGGGGGGGGGGGGGGGGGAGGTATGGTACCAGGAAAGAGGGTAGAGGCCACGAGCACGAACATGGGCACAGAATATATGTGACACTAGGGTAGAAAAGTGCACAAGGCGTGAGGGCTGGCGATCGATCGAGTTTCTTTCAGCCAATCCCTGACGGGATAAAGGTTCTGCAAAAGGATCTGCTTCCTGATGATGAGTCTATATTAGCTTTTTAAGCGGTCGAGAGTTACACCTTTGGCGAAATCAACTACAGTTTGTTACCAGCTGAGTCGAACAAGAGATGTGAACATTAGGAAACTCATTCATTAACTGTAGGCCGCTGACGATTATGAATGACTTAGAGCAGTGGCTCTCGACCTTCCTAATGCCGCAACCCTTTAATACAGTTCCCTAATGTTGTGTCAGAGACTCGGGCCTTGTCGCTCCAACTTCGTAACTAATTCCCTAATAGACAGGTTAGTTGCGAATCCTTTACAGGACGTTGCAGAACTAACCCCAACAGCCCTTGGCTGTTGTGTGGTTTTTCTAAGCAAATTTTACGACCAGTTGTTTGCCATTGCTTTATGGACGGTCAACTTTCTTGACACCACAATCGAAACCAACGCAAGGCCTATGGCCGACAGCTGGGATCGAACCCGGCATCCCGGCATTACGAAACGATCACATCGACTTAGCCACAGAGCCGACCACTATTAGACCAACCAACTAATAAATCGTCATATCAACTGACCTAACAACCCACAACCAAACTAATTAATTACACAGGCAGTCAATCATCTAACACACTAATAAATCAACCTATGGAACCGATCAGACAAATTAATGAGCAAATTAGAGTAAATCAATGCGCGATATCTTAAAAAAAAGTGTTAATACACATATACCAGTATTATTTTTATAGAATTCCTTATATCATCATCATCATCATCATCATCATCATCATCATCATCATCATCATCATCATCATCATCATCATCAATGACGACTAGCGTGTGCGATCACGCCACAGCTTTGGAGATAGCCTACACTAGTCGGCAAAAGACTTGACGACGATGGGAACTCTATTATTGTCTACAGTTTATTCTGCGTGGGCAGTCACAAAAGACACGGAGAGACAAGATCGCCCATACATGAACTGTGCATATGCAGTTACAATTACGTCGAAGAAAATTGACTGACCAGCCTCCACAATGTGGTCTAACGTTGGAAACCTCTTCATGACGGATACACTGATGCCCCTGCATATCCAAATGAGGCCAAACAGCATGTACCTGGGGGGAAAAACAGATTAGTGTAGGTTTCAGGACTGCCCTGTTTACATACCGGAGTATGTAGTCCAAGGAAGATACATTACTGACTTAAGAATCAACATCATAGCACTTTGGGCATGTCATTCTCTTCCTCTATTGCGTGACATGGGAGTTAAGCATGGTGATGCACGTCTTTGCCGTCTTCGAGGCCGAGAAAGGAGACAATATAACCAGCTTCTCATGGGGACAATTAATAGAAGTACTTTAGAGTGGCTGCTGCTTCGGAGAACTGAGCACGCAGGGGTATGCCCAATGTGCAGTGACATTAATTGTGATAACAGAACATAAAAAAAAATCTTAGTAGGGAGTCGGCAGTACGAAACTCAAGTTCAAGGTGTCTCCTTCGTGCCAAAGAACTGCATGGCTGTTGGGTGAACAGTCGTTAACGATGGCAGGCAGGTCGTTGTAGGGGCGACGCCTGCTGGTGGATGTAATGTCCTAAGTCCCTTCCCCAGCTAATAATGAGGGTACTGCTGGGGTGACCGTTTATTAACCCTCATGTAATTCTTCCGGTCAAAATGGACGCTAGGTACGGCCACCTTTTTTTATTTAAAGCCGTGGCAAATATTTTTTTTTTTTTGCCAGACGGTGGCCGTTGCCTTTTTGCTCCATTTGTAGACTGGATGGAAGGATGTAGTTTCGTCGCCCAGCTTCTGAGTTGAGTGCATGGCGTGACACTGTGAGCTGCGTTTGTTTTTCGTTGGCACAGGAGCGGAGCATATGTGGGGTGACCCGTTTGCTATGAAGCTGAAACTAGGATTACCAGATTACCAGATTCTCTTCCTCTCATACGTTCTTCCTTGCCGGATCCACACCGAATTTCTCGTTCAAACATTCTTGCACATGTTATTTGATCTAATCGTGTGTCTTCTGTCAACATTCGTTCATATATGGGAAGCTACAAGACAAACTATGGATTGACCTCTTTCTTCTTCACCTGTTTCCTTGTCAGTGGTTTTCAGATGTCCATCATTAATCCATCCAGCCTAGTTTCCACTGGAATACTAGCAAGCCAAACCTGGGATCTCACTGCTGCATATAGACAGCATGTCTGCAGCACATGTTCAGTACTCTATAGTTCCTGTTCACATGGGTACATTTCTACATCTCCAGTCTTGAATTCTTGTAAATATGGCTGCAGACGGGAGTTGCCGTGGCGTAGCGGCTAGTGCTTCATGTGCGGATCGGAAGGTCGTGGGTTCACTCCGTGGCGGAGCCAGATTTTTTTCAAAAATGACCTTGACTCCCAGGTCTATCCAGCCTTGAGTGTGTACCAGGTGCAGTCCCGGGAAGTAAAGGCGGCCGGCGTAAAGCTGAACCCTCATTACCCATAGTGTGCCGATTGGTCTATAAAAATATAGGTTTAGCCCTAAATATAGCCCTATATAGCCTAAAGGCGTGGAAAAAGGACCTTTTTTTACTTATGGCTGCAGACTCTGTAGTGTCTAGTTCGCTGTTTTAATACACTGGTCTGGTTCTTTCAAGTCTGGAGGCAGATTTGATCTTATGGTTTGAATTGTGGATAGGAAGTGTTCCAATGACCTCTAACATTTGCCTTAACCTCTTTTTTTCTCCACAATACTCTCTCATTCTCTTTCTTTCTTAAACATAAATTCTTCGTCTATTTCATCTCTCATCTTCTCCAACTGACTCCTTCACCTCCAATTCTTACACTCTCCCCCCCCCCTCTCTTTTTTTCCCCTCTCTTCCTCCCCTGGCTTCACACACGCGCACACACATTATCTCTTCTCTCGCTTTCTCACTCACTATCTCTTTATCTGGGTCCCCACCACTCAGGCTCTCCTATCTCTCTCACACATTTTCTCTTTCACATCTCCCGCACAGTCTCCCTCTCCCTCTCACTGCTCCCCCACAATCTCACTCTCTCATCACCCCCTCTAACAACTGTCCCCACAAAACTCACCTGGCTACAGCTCTCCGCATCATGCGAGCTCGGTCGTCAAATCCGTGAAGGTACGTTGTCATGGTGAACAAAGTCCTGCTCGCAGAGATATTGAGAATCAACAACAGTTATTTGTTCCACTCATCCACTTTAATAATTCATCCATTTGAGTCAAATACAAAATAAGTGCGAGTTAGTCATCCTTTAACTCTTTGAGTCCTAGGGGGTTTAGCATCACAGGGCCAAGGGGTAGTCAAGAGAGACGTAAAATCAGCGCATCTTGCGTTTATTGGGCATCTAGGCAGTAACCTATGAACGTATGATGCGTCCCTTGGGACTCAAAGAGTTAAAGGACATTGCAAATTAATCCCCTCAATCGTCAGCTCCTCATTATTTTAATAGGTCATTTTTCATTCAGTAGTTTGCCATTGCTCTTCAAACGGTCAGATGTCCATATCATTGTCAATGTCAACGCACAGCGGTCTGCTGCCAAATCACCGGGTAATTAGTCTAACAGGATAATCCGGAATTATAAACTGCGTACGTAGGCCAATAACACAACAAACGCCAACAAAAACGGGACATTAAAAAAACTTCGTTTTTGTACCAGAAATGAAAACTAGCCGGTTTTGGACACCAAGGATAGACTATATTCACCTTTTCTCTCAAAATCATCATGTAATAGCAAAAGACAATTACCTAGGGACAGATGTGCCGCTGATAGCCCCAAGAGACATCAGCCTTGATTAAGTGCGTAATATATATGTGTGTGTGTCTGCAGCTACAATAAAACTATTTCGGAATATCGTGCACACGCACACACACACACACACACACACACACACACACACACACACACACACCGCATGACAATAAAAAAGGATATACCTAACATAACATGAAATATACAAGCAAATACTTAACAAAAGAACTTCTATACGTGGCTGTGAGGGTGGGGCGGTTGACCGCCGTACAGTTCTTATGGGATGGCATCTCACGGGGTTGGACCTCCAGGCTCCTGTGCCCATACCTGAGGTCGGACAAGAGACAGTGACATCAATGAGCTCACCTGTCGGGCCAGGGGACGTTGGTGAACTGTTGCCACCCTCTCTGGGCTATAAACTTACCTGTATGGCCAGGGGACGTTGGTGAACTGTGGCCACCATCTCTGGGCTATGTACTTACCTGTCGGGCCAGGGGACGTTAGTGAACTGTGGCCACCATCTCTGGGCTATGAACTTACCTGTCGGCCCATGGGGCGTTTGTGAACTGTTGCTACCTTCTCTGGGCTTTCAACTTACCTGTATGGCCAGGGGATGTTTGTGAACTGTTGCCACCATCTCTGGGCTATGAACTTACCTGTCGGGCCAGGGGACGTTGGTGAACTGTTGCCACCATCTCTGGGCTATGAACGTCACGTAGAAACCCAAGAGGAAGGACAGAGGAATGGCGCTTGTGGAGCTGTACAGTTCCAGTACGATCCCCTCGAAAAATCTGTGGGAGAATACAAGTGGATGTCAAATAAGGTAATGACATGTAGATGTCTGATAACGACAAGGGGATGTCATGCAAGGACAGGTGATTGGCGGATAAGGACCAGTGGATGTCCGGTAAGGACAAGTGTATGTCCGGTAAGGACAAATAGATGTCATGCAAGCACATTTAGATACCATGCAAGCAAAGGTGGATGTATGGTAAGGGCAAGTGGATGTCGGGGAAGGACAAGTAGATATCAGGTAAGGACACGTAGATATCAGGTAAGGACACGTAGATGTCAGGTAAGGACACGTAGATATCAGGTAAGGACACGTAGATATCAAGTAAGGACACGTAGATAACAGGTAAGGACACGTAGATATCAGGTAAGGACACGTAGATATCAGGTAAGGACACGTAGATATCAGGTAAGGACACGTAGATATCAGGTAAGGACACGTAGATATCAGGTAAGGACACGTGGATGTCCAGTACAATCAAGTGGATGTTATGTAACGATAACTGGATGTCAGGTAAGGGCAAGTGGATGTCGGGGAAGGACACGTAGATATCAGGTAAGGACACGTGGATGTCCAGTACAATCAAGTGGATGTCATGTAACGAAAACTGGATGTCAGGTAAGGGCAAGTGGATGTCATGTAACGACAACTGGATATAAGGTAACGACAAGTGGATGTCATCCTAGGACAGGTGGATATCAGGTAAGGGCAATTGGATGTCAGGTAAAGACAGGTGGATGCACACTAAGACTAATGGATGTCAAGTAAGGACACGAGGATGTCAGGTCAAGACAAGTGGAGGCCCGCAAAGGACAAATAGATGTCAAATAAGGACAAGTGGATTTTATGTAAAGTGGATTCCCAGTAACAACAAGTGGATGCCTAGTAAGGACAAGTGGATGTAAGGTAAAGACAAGTGGATGTCCGATAAGGACAAATCAATGTCAAAAAGGACAAGTGGATGCCAGGTAAAGACAAGTAGATGGCAAGGAAGGATGTGGCACAGTCGTGCCTATACATCCCCCAAGAAATAGATGTGCCTAAGTCGGCCAAGTGAATGAATATAGTTCGTATCTCTCTTCAATCGTACTCAAGAACAAGGCCAGTGATGTAATCAATTACATAAGAGCTGGTTTATTCATAATATTCTCGTCACACACATTTCATAAATTCAATAAGCAATAGTATATGAACACTCCTCATTACTGGCTATTCGTATGCCTCTACGAGTTCCTTAACCACTGTTCTGGCTAAACTCCAAGTTTAACATATACCTTCTAAACGAAGTAAAGCACTCGTTTTCTCCTAACCGGTTTCTCTAGCGGTCTAGCCCTAACTGTCTTCTCATGGCGGTTCCGGGGCTAACTCACTGTTCTAGCTAAACTCCAAGTTTAACATATACCTTCTAACGAAGTACAGCACTAGTTTTCTCCTAACCGGTTTCTCTAGCGGTCTAGCCCTAACTGTCTTCTCCAGCGGTTCCGGGGCTAACTGTCCTCTCCAGCGGTTCCGGGACTAACTTTATTCCCCTGCTTTCCCGCCTTTCTGGCGTACCCTCTCCATCACTTCTCTGTCACCTGTCTTTGGTGGTCACGTCTGGATGAACGTATCTCACAGTTCACGGGCACTCGTCGAATGTTTCATCCCTCACTGTCAGATGTCATGGCGGTGTGTTCTGCATAGCTGGCTAGGCCATGGCTTTCTAATCACCTATTTCTGTCATTTCACACAGTGATGGATTAGTACGCTGTGTGGTGGTCTGAAATGTATGCTTGTTCATTTAACCCCTTTTCTGCCTATATTTCGTTACATTCGCCCTTCACACTTTTTAACAAAATTGTTTCCTATCTTCAATTTTATAAAAACTACTCTAATTATACCCGCTACCTAACTAAACCTTATGTGAACATCTAGCCACGTAATGAAAGCATACAACATAACATGTAACATCATAAAATTCATGCAGTATAATGAAAACGTGACATGCATACAATAACTAATAGTCAATAATTCTAAAGACATAAAAAAAAAAAAAACGGTACAACTCCCTCGTTGTATTAGCATAACGACCTCTTATTCACTGGTATCCCTAATGAATGTGCGGAGTTGTCTGAAGTATAAAGGAATAGTATCTGTATTCCTCCTTTATAAACTCAAACCTGAAAACATTGTATACAAGAAATGACATGCCATGTATCCCCAGTTATCAATAAAATAAAACTCGAAAATGTCATCTCCCCAAGAAAGGATGAAAACAGAATCTCTGAGAAAGTCAACATAGATTGAATAATAAGGTATAACCTTTACAGAGTATAAATAATTCTTATAACGTTAGGTATATTAATTGAAGAGAAATTTCTCGGAAACAATAGTAGCATTTCCTCAAGTCGAATGTACAATGCCACCACCTGTATTTACAGGCATTTATCTACTGTGATAATCCACAGGGTTTATTGTTGCTTCCCTAAGAGGTTGCTTCCTCTGTTAAATGCATATCGCATCTTCTGTAAAGAAATAGCCGGCCTATATTCAGTTACCAATCATGTCCTGCTTTGGACTGGTTTATCGCCAAGTACTTTCTAACTGTGTACCTCAGTAAAGTCTGGTTAAACTCAAATCAGTCATCATTCTGACAGAATGTATAAGAGAGGTTTTGTGGCCAGTAACTCTCTTAGCGAACATAAAACATGTAGGTATTGTAATCTTTACCCACAACCGAACGTGTGGATTTTCACTTTTCCGAGAGAGTACAACACGATAAAAAAACGTTCATAGTGCAGAACCAAATGTAAATATTAAATGGTAAGGACAAAACAACAGGTATATATTTAATATTGTCGGACAAATGACATGTAGACACAACAATATAATATGTGTAGCGAGCGCGGTACCTCTGTACACAGCAATATAGCGTACGTAATTTGTAATTAATGAAACTAATTACTTGTTATACACCCTACAATCCCACATTTATTGAACCATTTTACGGACGATCCCATTTCATTCAGTCATGGGAAAAGAAAAGGAGGGGGGGGGGGGGGAAGCTGTAATTAATGTATGGTTTACTCAGGGTATAAATTCAGTCTACCCCCTGATGATTCTGGTCTACTAACTGTAGTGGATGCTAATTGTTCTAGTTCTATTTCTTCTTCTGTCTTATTAGTGATCTGTGTTTTTTCTTTTATTAAATGATTAGTTACTTTTGTACATTTAATGCCTTTCCGTCGCAAATAAAGAAAAGTTATAAGTCCCATCAATATGCATAATCCAGATATCAGTATGATCCAGTTTCTGTGTGTATTTAACGTATTTTCTTGTAAATTAAGTTATGCATCGTACACATGTGTTCGCCTTAATTATACTAAAAGGTGTCGTGTATGCCATTTATTAGACGCTCCAGAGCTCTAAAATAAAGTGGAACAACTTATTAATTTTGCTATATTCGGTAGATGCCACTTCATTACGACACTTATGGCTACTTTTATTTCCGTGTAAATTTCCATCTAATACATTTGATTTTCTCGCATCTTTATTTTCCTGTAAACCATGCCGCTCGTTTAAATCTGTGTGCGAATTTTTAATGCCCGACATTCTTGTCTCCTGTTTTGCTCTTTTGTTAGGCGAAGTTTCTACTGTTTCTTCTTCTTCTCTTCTACTATTACATGTACCTTTAACTGGTACTTCTGACGGTTTTAATTCTTTCACACTAGACGGAGTATTAGTCCTGGTTCTAACCGCGACTAAAATTCTACGACCCGTTTTGTTTGTGATCCCAATTTCACTATCTGCGTCGTAGTTTTCTGAGAATAGATCTACCTTTATGTTACTAACTATAAACGGTAATGTATTTATTCCTTCACCTTCTTCTTCTGTAGGCATCACCTGTGCATAAGACAAACTCTGCTGATTTATTTCTTTAATTGTCCCTATCCTCTCTACTTTCCTATGTGTGCTATTGCTATCTAGCCTTTTTACTTCTACCGCGTTTACTTCACATAACCATTCCATTGCTAAACAACCCTCTTTATCTTGTTCCGACTTAACTTTAGTCGGTGTTAACTCCTTATGTGTCTCTATGTTCCCTTCTTCTTTAAAAAATTGACCGCGTGTCCCGTTTACAGTTACCGCATTTACTTCGTTAATGTAGCTTTTATTAAACCGTTTCATGGGATTCCTCTCTTTTAACCCTTTTACTTCTAATCTGTTTGTCTCATCATCAGCAGCGCACGTGCTTTTATTACCTGTCTGCCATAATCCGTTATAGTTACTGACCTCGCGATTATTTCCTAAGTTTTGCAATCTTATATTCTTATTATAGCCTAATTTTCTTAACCTGTCTCTTTTGAATTTGTTGGCTTGATTATGGGTCGTACCGTGGGCTCTGTAATCTTGATTAGTGCTCATCGTGCTAAATCTGGAATCTGGATTACATGACCTAACTCGACTTCGGTTATCATCATGGATATTTCCTACTCTATTTATGTTCTGATATCTGTTAATATTATTATGCCACTGTTCCTGTGCTCTTATATGTCTATTATTTTCTAATTTTCTCAACCTGTCTGCTCTATGGAAATTTTTAAAATGCCCTCGTTCATTTTGTACACATGACCTCAGTTGACCCTGATTTTTCTCGTACGCTTTTTGTGTTGTCTGGTCTGCGGTACTGATTGTCTCTAGGGTATTGCAATCTCTCGTTAGCATAATTTCGCCTGTCTGGGAAACCGGACAGTCGATAAGCAGCGACGTTACTTCTAGTGACTGATGCTATGTTATAATTTCTTTCTCTCTGTCTTTGTCTACGACTATCTACAGTCAACCAATGCTGGGCAGTTTTTTGTTCTATAAAAAATGGAATACGGAGTTTTCTACCTAACTGTGCTACTTCATTAAAAACTCTGCTAAACTGTGCTCTCACTGTTCCTTGATATGCCATTATTAAAACCTGGAAAATTAAGTAATAATGTAAACTAAAATAGAATTTAAAACAGAAAATGT